TGAGGGCTTTCCAGCTCTCATTTCTATCCCATATGGTACAGCACTTCCCAGGGTTAAAATATCTGAAAGCCATTGACTTCTGTATGTCTCTCCATGATTGAATAATTTGCCCCTGCTTGCAGAGCAGAAAGGGCTGTGGTCTGTTTGCACTTTGAAGTACAGAAGGCAGAGATGGGTTTTTCTTTGAAACTTATCTTTGATTCTGCATAAAACCTCTGAGATATACCGATAAGCTACATTTCTTCCTCCAGAAAGCTGCAAAAAACCCAAGACTTCTGTACCCTTTATAGCAATGAATCAGAGACATGTTGCAATGACAGGAGAAGCCTGTAAGCTTGTTAGAGTTGATGGGAGGTGCTGTGTCTCATAGGGGAAAGGTCTGCTTCATTATGCAGAAGATTCCAGGTTTATCTCCCAGTGTCACCAGACTGAACTGTAAAATACATGTTTGGGGAAGATTTGAGAGAGATGTTTGGGTGTTTATTAAATGTCAGTTGTGCTTCCCCATACCAACTGAAGCAAGTGGTATTAAAAAAAACCAGCAATCAGTCCGTATAACAGGATAAGCAATAACATAATCAAATGGCATGGGAATCAGTGAAAGAGCAAGTAAGAAGTCAAGTGGTGGCAGTGAATAATTCAAATACAGATTAAAACAGAGAACAGCAGAGCTGCTGAGAGTCAGTATGCTCATTACTGAGAAAAGAAGGAACCATGTTTTGACTTGGTATATAAGGCAGCTTTCTCATGAGAAGAGAAGAATCCTTGGAAAAGACCTTGATGTTAGGAAAGTGTGAAGGCAAGAGGAGAAGGGGACGACAGAGGACGAGATGGTTGGACAGTGTCATTGAAGCAACCAATATGAATTTGACCCAACTCCGGGAGGCAGTGGAAGACAGGAGGGCTTGGCGTGCTCTGGTCCATGGGGTCACGAAGAGTCGAACACGACTGAACGACTAAACAACGATAAGGTAGCTTACTGTGGTCCCGAAGGCATCACTGGTTTAATGGTTGCAGGAAATAGGAACAGAGACAGGGATTTAGATCATCATTTTCCCAGAAAACACTTGGGTGACATTGAGGTAGTGATGCTCTCAGCTTCATTTTGCTTCACAGGGCCATTTTGAGGATAAAATGGCAATGGTAAACATTCCCTCAAGTCAAGATGTGAAAGAGATGCCTCAGTGTGGGAAAGTTTTGCATGTACATACAGTATTTCATACACAAAGTCCCATGTCCCAACCTTGCTATTTGCAGATATGCATCATGAGAAAGGCCTGTTCATGTCTGGTGAACAGGTATCAGTTAGTGAACAAACCATAAACTTAGGCCAGTATATACCCCTTTGTTTAATTTTCATGTATTTTGCCAACACTTAGTGGATGCCTTCATGTACTAACCTGCTAAATGTAGAGGAAGATGGAGGGAGTTTGGGGAGGAAGGGGAATAAAAGATGGAAAGGTGGGGAAGAGAAGGAAAGAATGGAGAGGCATGTACAGATGCAACACCATACTCGTTTGCCAAGCTACAAAGGGGCGAGGTCTTTTATGAAGTTCTCAGAGAAGCAGAGGGAGAGATCTGGTTTTGCAAAATTAAGCCCAGTTGTACAAGTAATGCTTTAATGGAAATTGTGCACAGTGACAATTACTGCGGCTTTGTTGCATGGAATTTTAAGGAGTAGAAGCACTGGAAAGGCTAACAGCCAGCTCCTCTCTGTGCTTGCTCTGTGTAAGGATATATGCTTTGCTTCTCACAGGGGAAGTAGATGAGGTTTATGCAGAGACAGTTTGTGCAGATAACAGACCTTAGTGAGAAAAAAAAAACACCTGCTTTTTGTCTCACTTGCCATTGGAGTGATGGATATTTTAAATTACCCCATTAAGATGTCATGCTGAGACAATGTTGAAATCAGCTACACTATGAATAACGTAGGAAGTACCGTTTGCATCTGTAGAAGGAGGTGCTAGAGAATAAAACTTATTTGGGCCTCTGGTTTTGTCAGTGACTGGTTTAGCCCCATTGTTTGCCCCGCCTAGTCTCTGAGATGATATAGCCTTCAGTGGAAAAAAAGGTAGTGCTGGGATAGACCATATTCAGCCAGAATGACCAAATGGCTGACCTGCAGTTTCTTATGTTTCTACACCTCTGTTGTCATTTGGTATATTGTCCTCTCTTCAGCTCTTTCCTGCCATTAAATCAGTTGTATTTTTCCTCTTGAATTACTTTTTGTCCAATATTCTTATATTTTGCCCCTGTGGGCATTTTGGACCTGAAAGGTTTTTAAATCTATCTCTGTAAGATTACATTATGGATTTTTTTTTTTAAAAAAAAAGGTATTTTTCAGGAGTGAAAAGACATGGGAAGAGAATCATTGCCTTTCTTTGTTATCATTTGCCAGAGATTCTAGGCATTGGGTTTTAATATTTCCTGTTGTGGTTTGTTCCTGTGTCTTTCATAAACACTCAGGTCTTCTTTGCTCTGACACTCCTTGAAATATACATCCAAATCCAATACCAGACAGAAAACATTTTTCTTTCCATACTAGTGACATTTAAATTTCAATACATAATGTTTTAAAAATCATTTGGCAAAATACTGTTACATAAGATCAGGTGTCAGATATATTTAATTTAAACTAAAGGAAAACTTATCACCCCGTTTTAGGTTCCAAGGCTCCCTTTCGTTCTGGGGAAGCCTTTGGGAGCCTCAGAACTGGGGACAGGGGAGCCTTTAATAGTTAAAAAAATGCCAGTGGATTGCCATTGCCTAAAAATTTCCAGTATGGAGACGACCATGTTGTGCTAGCTAACCATGTAGTTGCTAAAGATGTGGAGCCTCTTTTAAGAAAAAGAAAAGAGATGACACCTCTAATTCAGCACTCACATGGCTGAACACAATTGGAACTGAACCCTCTAAGAGCTAAGTTCTTAGCCTTGATGGGTAGTTCTTAATTCTTTTATTTCTTCCCCATTTGATTTGTTTTGTCTCCATCTATTTCAATCCCAAATATGAGAAAGTTTGCAATTGTTGGTAAATTCCTGTTTCAAAGAATCCCCATAATAGATGAAATAAAGTGCTCATCTCTCTTTGATGTGTGCAGGGCCTTCCTGGGAGAAGTCAGTACTTTTCTCTTTATGAGCATGCTTGGATGGATGGATGGATGGATGTCTGTCTGTCTGTCTGTCTGTCTGTCTGTCTGTCTGTCTGTCTGTCTGTCTGTCTGTCTGTCTGTCTGTCTGTCTGTCTGTCTGTCTGTCTGTCTGTCTGTCTGTCTGTCTGTCTGTCTGTCTGTCTGTCTGTCTGTCTGTCTGTCTGTCTGTCTGTCTGTCTGTCTGTCTGTCTGTCTGTCTGTCTGTCTGTCTGTCTGTCTGTCTGTCTGTCTGTCTGTCTGTCTGTCTGTCTGTCTGTCTGTCTGTCTGTCTGTCTGTCTGTCTGAAATCTCCAAAGCAAACTGTGAATGGAATAACACTCTCCCACGTGCTATTCATCACTCAGCTCCTCATTTCTCCTTCAATTGCACTGTCTTGACTACTGCAACTAGTACCCATGAACAGTTGTGTCTTCCATGAATTTTGTCTAATCTCTTTCTAAAACCATCTAGAGGTAGTTTATGCACTCTGCGAGCTTCTTAAACTGCAATTTATGAACTCAAATACTGTAGAAGGTTGACATACTTTTAGAAATCCTATTGTGGATTTTATTGCCGCTCTGTTTGCAGAGTTGGGCATTTCTCAGGACAGCTAGCATTTTCCCTAGATTCACTTGTGATCTCCTTCATGGGGTGTCTTTTTTCTTACCCCAAAGCAATATTTTAAATTGGGTTGGACAGATCAATGCAAAATATAAACAGAAATGTGGATAAAAGCAGGTAGGTGATGTGAACTGGACATAGATTTACCCATTCCTAGTGTTGCAATTTTACTGAATAAGAAGAGAACAGAATATAAAACTATAATTTAGTACGTTCTATAAACATGGCCTGTTAAACTCAGTGGGAAGGTGCTACTGATTTGTACAGGTTCTTTATTGTACTGTATTTTCTGCAACTATGAGCAGAACAAACATTTTGATGTACGGCTACATGAGCGACATTTATTACTCCTAAGATACGATTGGATCTGATTCTTGCTCTGTAACTGTTGATCACCATATTGAACTTCTTAAAAAAGCGAAAATAAATCCATAAAAATGGATCAATGGGAGCCAAACCTCTGGAGACCAAACTTCAAAATATTAAAATCAGGCTGTAGTCTTTAAATCTCAGGTTTGCAACTTGCAGTCTTGGCATTGTTTTGTGAAACCCACAAATGAACCATTTTTATATTTGGAATTCTGCTGCTTCTACTGATGGTGATTTTAAAGGTGTGTTGTTATCTTACGAGGAAAAAGTGTCGTTGCAGTGTGAGGGCTAATATTATTGCAGTGTGAGCCAAACATTATTTGATGATCGAACAGATGTGTGAAAGTCCACATGGAAGATGAATTTAGATTCAGAGTTGGGGAGCTGTAGCCCAAACTTTTCAGAGATTTGTTTAGAAGAATCATTTGAATGAACAATCAAGAACCATTTGGAAGAACCATTTGGAAGAACTTGATTGAATGAGCAATCAGGGGGTTCCTAGGCTTACATGCTTCACTCTTGTCTCACGTATATGATGATTTCTTCCCAGTTTGAGTATACCATTTCACTTTATCCAAATGATTAAATAATGGTTTGTACTTGCCTTGGAAATCAGAATCAGGCTGCGTTTTAGTGTTGCATCTCAGACACCTTGTAATTTCAGTCTTTGTACCTGCCTAGTTTTGCTACGAGCAGCAGGCTACTCTGCTTTGCCAAGACTGTGCATCTTTGAGCACCAGTGGTAGGAGAATGGGATGTTATTGTACACCTGTGATTGTTGGTATGGGAACAGAATGATGGGCTGGAGGCCTTTTGATCTGACCTGACATGGTAGCTCTTATGTAGGTACTATAAGTTGACATCCTTGTTTGAAACACAGGAAGAACATTCTTCGCTTCTTGGATGCAGAAAGAGACATCTCGGTGGTCAAAAGCAGCTTCAAGCCAGGAGATGTCATCCACTATGTGCTAGACAGACGCCGCACACTAAACATTTCTCAGGATTTACACCGCCTCCTTCCTGAAGTGTCACCAATGAAGAACCGTCGGTTTAAGACATGTGCTGTTGTAGGAAATTCTGGCATCCTTTTGGACAGTGGGTGTGGAAAAGAGATTGACAACCACGAGTTTGTTATAAGGTGAGCATTCCTTTTTTGCTAGACAGATTGTCCATTATTTCAAGAATGATGAACACAAATACTTTAATGTGGAACGGATGATGGCTTGGAACTGCTGAGTAATATCTTTCCCTACGTGGTGCCCAAAATTAAATATATTTCAATATTGAAAAAAGGGGGCTATTTATATATTGTGAATGAGAAATTGCACTGCTGGAGACTGAATAGAAATTTGTAACATGATTTTGTAGAATCTGGGTTTGCTCTTTATTGCAGGACAAAAGCACTTTTCCAATAGAAAGCTGGTTCTGCAAAGTGAAAATGTTTTAATTTCCACCTTTTCACCAGTAGTCATAGCAGAAAATCACCACCTTTACTTATTATATATGCACTGTATGGGGTAAAGTTTATGTGAAATGCATTAGGGATTAGCTAGACAGTTGCCATTAAGGGAATTGGAATCACGCATCTAAATGCTTGGTGCTGCACAGAAAATGTGATTGGACTGCATGCACAGATGTATTCACATATATTAGTTTCAGTAATTAGTTTACTTGTCCAGAATAAAATGTTATGTGTTGTCAAAGGCCAGCAAGAAATTAAAAGGAGTTGCAGGCACTGTTTAATAGGTTGCCATTGTCTGAATGTAAAACAAGTTTTAGTTGAAAATACAGGGCATTGGGTGCCATCCAGAACCATTAAAATCAATCAGAGTCTTGCCATTGACTTTAGTGGGGCATGTCCACTGTGTTTTCGTTAAATAGCAGTCCTCCAGGTTTGTGCATATTAATGAAAAGAGTGGATGTGATCCTTCTAAAGTTTATCACCTTTAAGTCACAGCTTTCCCCCCATAGGATCTATTCAATTCAACTACAGAAAACTGCCCTGAAAGTCAAACAAAGTGATATATTTGCCACATTTTTGCAGAGGTACTCCCTGAAGTGGTAAAGGTACTCCCTGAAGCACTTGTCATGGCATGTAATTTTCCTTACTTGTGTATCTTTGCATTTTGTGTGTATGTTGTCATTGATCCATGGAAGACAAACACAACCTTAGTTTGCTAGTTTAGCTGCTCAGGCAGGTCATTGAGGAAATCCTATTGTGGGAAAGAAAATAGGTCAATTCTAGAGATTATACATTCCGTTTAAAGTCCACTTTAACGCTCTGCAGTCCACATTTAAGTCTAGAACTTTGGTACATAATGAGTGAAAGAATCTGATAATAATTTCTAATGCTTACTGTTTCTATATTGTTTTGCACCTGATTACAGCCATTGTTAGGGATGTGGAGGTGCTGCGGGTTAAACCGCAAAAGCCTCTGGGCTGCAAGGTTGAAAAATCAGCAGTTCGAATCAACACGAGGGAGTTAGCTTCTGTCGCTTGTCCCAGCTCCTGCCAACCTAACAGTTTGAAAGCATTTAAGAAAGCGAGTAGAGAAATAGGTACCACCTCGGTGGGAAGGTAACGGCGTTCTGTGTCTAGTCGTGCTGGCCACGTGACCACACAAACTGATTCCATGGCTTGGAAACAGGGATGAGCACCGCCCCCCTAGAGTCGGACATGACTGGACAAATTGTCACGGGGAACCTTTACCTTACATCCATTGTTTGTCTAATTTGTAGCTGTTTCAGTACCATTAAAAACATTTTGAAAGTGGTTCTCCATTGAGTGAATTTAGCCACAATGAGTGATGTAATGCATACTTCTAACAACATCACAATGTCACACAGAGTCAGATTTAGTTGTTTGTGGATATCACAGTGATGCTCGTAGTGTAGTCTTTGTCCTTTCTTACTGCTCTACAATGAAGGTTTTATCATGCAGAAGAACTGTATGGAAAGATTTTTGCAGTACTCATGATCCTGCCTTTGTGGGAGGTACACATGATTAGTTGGTAGAACATGTTAATAGGAGTGTGCATTTGAACGTCCATCTGAATTTGCACTCCACAGAACATGATATAATATGTTTGGAAGACTTCCATGTTTTGATATATATATCCACCAACCTGTCCTTCATCCGCACTACGTTGCTTTTGTTGGAATGTTCATTTAGATAATCATTTGAGTGTCCATCATTATATTCATTTTGTTAGTTATGTTTGGATGATTGTGGAAGCATTAGTTGAATTGCCTCAGCGCACCACTTCCAGGTTCTATGGGGCTACTCGTTTACTTAGATATCTATTGATGGGCCTTGAAAATACAAATTTCCCCGCCTCAGCGCACCACTTCCAGGTTCTATGGAACGATAGATATCGTTTGCTTAGATATCTATTGATGGGCCTTGAAAACACAAATTTCCCTCCAAAATTTATGAAATTCTTATTCACAGTTATATGACAACGCGAGCAATTATAATAACAAGAAGTTACCATTTTGTGCACCAAGATCTTGACAACAGCACTAATACAAAAGTTGCTTGTAGCAATTGCAAAGTTCAAGTGTCCTTTTGAATTCAAATTCAGACAAAAATCCAAGATATCTTCCTTAGCTGGGTTGGGTATCCATAACATGGAAGTATCAGCTCCACATGCAGCGTATTCAAAACCCGAGAATAAAATATCAATTCAGTTGCATAAGCATGAATTCACTATGGATTCAACACAAACATACCTATAACTGGCAACAGCAGTTCTAGCCTCTTTCTGATTCTGATCTCTTCCTCACAGCATTCCTCTTGCTCTTTCTTCGTCCCATGCCTTTGCTTTCAGACTCATAACTGTCCATATCCTCTAACCAGGATGGTTAGATGGGCCAGAAAAGATTCCTGGGAGCTTTATTCCATAAAGGAAATTTTGCTGAGCTGTTTGATAAGTGCATTCCGAGTTAAGTGTACAGAGATATAAGATCATACTTCAAAATATGTGCTATATTTCTTTCCTTATCTAAAAAAGCTATTGGTTAAGGAATCTTCAAATGATAACATTGCAGTCTGCAGAGCATGGATTATTATTTATGCAATGTAGTAAGATGGTATTTTCTTGCTTGCTCTGAAGAAATAGTCACCATCTTTGGTTTCAAGCAACACATTTAATTTATATAGACATTTTTGATATTTGGGCTAAAAAATCAGGAATAAAAAGTTAGAATATAGTTATTTTTCCATATATATGGAGTGGTAACTGAAAAATGCATTTGTTCGTCTATCTACTCCTCGTATGTTCTTTCACAAGGATATAGATTCCTAGCATATAGATTTTATTGCTGTAGGGCTTTTGAAGACTAGATCTTTTATTAGCAACATCACCTGTTCTCTTAACACCTGCTCTCCTAACTTAATGTTAGCTCTCAAATTGCTCTGTTTGTTCATGGAATGTCTGGTGGAGGGGAGGTATTCCCATTTTATCACAGACCAATACAGACACATCAATACCAGACAGACTTCAGGATCCATTTATTGTGTATTATTCACCCAGTCGCATGTTTTTGGAGTGGAGAGATGCATGTTGTATCTTAGAAACTGGATCCAGGAAGCTGTGTTTGGAAGTCATATTTGAACATTTTAAAACACTGTCACTTTTGAGACTCTGGATACACAAGAGCTGTGCTCAATGAATTGGGTTGATATATTGGGGAGCTAGTGGAGTAATCCTAGTTTTTACAGCAATGAACGTATCAGAGCAAAAGCAATATATAGTATAGGATATTCAGGCATACATTGTCTCAAGTCTTTGAAATAATGAATGTTGGTTTATTAAAAAATAAACCAAATTTTAAGCTCTTCAATGCTAAGGCATGGTAAACATAGCACAAAAATCATTTCCCCCCCAGAAATTGTAAGGAATGAGCATTTCTTTGTGGGAGAGGAGCTGCGTTCTTATTATTTGAAAAGCCCCTCAACCAGTCACATTTTTAGATAATAAAAAAAAGAAATCTAGCACAATATTTTGAGGTATGATTCCGGATCTCAGTGCACTTCACTCTGAATACTCAGTGTAAAGTAACATAAAAATACCCTTAAGCTGCCTGTTCCTAGTTCCTTCTCTGGAAGCAAGTTGAATTGTAAAAAGATGAGAAAATGCCCTGGTACATTTCTGTTCTGAAAGTGGTGTGGTACCACTTAGTCATTCCTCTGCTTTTCTGTACAGATTTAGGGCAGAAATAGACATTCTAGATGGCCTGTCAGAACTGAAAGCACATTAGAGGTGGAGAAATATGACTGAAGCAATCTTTTGTGTTTGAGAATCAGATTTCAAGTGAATTCTGTCCTGAGGTTTTTAAACCCAAGCATGAAACAAGCAAAATTGTTTAATGTGCACATTCCATGTGGTGAGAAAAGCACCTTCTGTGACAATCACACAAAATCAGCTCCTAAGAATTTTCCTCTTTTAATTACAGGCTATCCATAATTTTTCTTCCTGCTATCAGTAAAGAACTGACTTGATAGTTAAACTCCAGTATTTGCTGTTCATTGATCTATATAAGTCAGAAACTTAACTGGTCTTCTTGATGAATATGGCAAGGTACCTTTGGTCCTCTTTGGGAGAAAGATGGTATTTAAATAAATTAAAAAAACACACGAGTTGATGGGCTAGATTGGAAACAGTACATTTTATGTATGCGTTTTGGCTACTAAACCTGGGATGGCCGTTATGGATGAATCTGGGATACCTGCAAGCATATGAACCAAACTTTAGGACTGTGAATGAGCCTCATTTAGTAGTATGGAATTGACTAAGTAATGCATGTTGGCTTAGGACGAAATGACATGTAATACCTAAATCATGTGTTGGTTCCCAGACCAGAAGGTGGATCTGTAGTTTTTGTTTTAATGATCAGGAGCAGGGATTGAGGACTCAAGTTGTGGGATGCGTGTCAAGTTGAACTTAAGTCGCTCCAACAACTTGATTGTTTTCCCCCCCCCACTGACTCAGACTCAAGTTGCTTTTAATAAGAACTTGCACCTAGGGCTTGGGACTCAGGACTTCCGATTCAGACTCAAAGACTTGGGCTTAGACTTGAGACTCAGACCCAAAGACTTTGCCAATATCCCTGATGAGGAGCTTTCGGTCTTTGGAAG